TCTTAATATGCATATTTTATCACGCAGAAGGACATCTTTTCTTTATTAGAATTATATAAAAAGAAAAATTAAGAAAGGAAAGGTGTTGTGTAGCGTAACACAATCGTGAGAATTTTATCGCTGTTGCACTTATAAACCTAACCGGAATTTCCAATTATTTGTTTCCTTTTGAGAAAATTGATAATTTATGTGTGAGGAAAACATTGTGAAACATTAATAAATCATTTTGTTTATTTTTTTAAAAAATATCTTTATCTAAAATTGAAAATTATTGATTTTAATTAAAACTATTATATAAATGCCTTTTTTAAAAACTTGTAATTTTTAAAAAAAAATTTTTTAATGTGTGTTTTTCTTATCTTTGACTTTTTGAATTTAAATATTATTTAAAAATTTTATTCCTTATCTTTAAAACTGCGATATACACATTCAAATATATGAAATAAAAATTAGAAATAAATAAATAAAATACTAATTTATTTTTTCGATGATGATGATGATTCTTATAATTTCTTTAAACTAATTTTAATTATTTTTAGTGTTCAGCAATTTTAATAGCATACATAATTATTTATACTTTAATATGTGTACTAAAAAAGGAGCATGTGAAAATCTGGACTGTAGTACTAGAGCATGTGACTTTACTTACCCATAAGTTAGTTAATTGTTTGCTCTTATACCTAATACCCTATGCTCTTCTCTTTCTGAATTTAAATAATATTTAACAATTTTGTTTTACTCCATTATCTTTAAAACTGCAATATGCACATTCAAATATCTGAAGTAAAAATTGGAAATAAATAATTAAAGTATTAATTAACTTTTTCGGTAATGATGCAAACATAACTTTATAAAACTAATTTTCTTAAATTTTTTTACACTCAGTAATTTTAATAATATACATAATTTTTTCTACTTTGAAGTGTGTATACCAAATAAAGCGTATGAAAATATAGACTGTAAATTTAGATCATGTTATTTACTTACACATAAGTGTTTACTTAAATGTTTTCCTGTAAATAAGCTACTCTGCACTAACGTTATATAAAAGGAAAAGCTACTCGTACAGAGCTTGTTCCAAATTGGCATATCAGGGCAAAGCAAAATATAATACAATTTTTGTTATATATTTAGAATTTGTACTATTTCTTTGCGACTATTTCGTTACATTATGATTTAGACCGCATTTGAAAAGATTTATATTTTCATTTTAGTTAGGATATTTCAGATTATATCAGTTACAAATATTTATATTATATCTATTACAAATTATGTCTGTCACAAATTAAATGACATATTGAAAATAAAACGAAACTTTAATAAGTTAGGTTTTGAATTTCAAAACGAACTTAAATTTTGAATGTTTTGAAAGGGGAAAAGAAATTTATTTTTCTTTCTTTCGAGAGAAAAATTAAATAAATAATTATAACACCGGTGCTAAATTTTGGGGGGAATTAATAAGTTTTGAATTAATAAGTATTCAGTTTTTAGTGTTTTAAGCAGGGTTCGTATTTTGTCCGACGAAACAATTTCTTTCAGAACTCTGGAAGACAGTGGAAAATACAGTAAGAAGTTGGACGAAATGGAAGAAACTAAAACTGATCGATACAATTGTGTAAATATAATTGAAAATGAATTATTCAAATTTATACTTTAATAAAGTACAAAGAAATAAAAAATTTCTTGTGATTTATTTTTAAAAAATAATTATTTTCATTTTTTTAAAATTTTATACTGAATTTTGAAATCAAATACTATAATTATTTATTTAGAATTATGATTAAAATTATCATTATTACCATTATTATTACCTAAATAAATACAGACATCTGACTGCGGAGCCATTGGCCGCGGGTTCGAATCCTGCTCAGGGCATGGATATTTCTCTCTCTCTCTGTGTTCTATGTCCTTTCCTCTTTGTGTGATTGTGACCCGCCCTATAAACGGGTTTGTGGTTGTGTGAACTGGGCGACGCTGCACCACCGCCTTGACTTCGCCACAGGTGTCCACTGGGTAACTAGAAGAGAATAGCAGTTCTGGCATTTCTGTGGCCAATGGGACAAACTCCAATTGTCCTCCATTAAAAAAAAATATCTAAATGAATTGTGTGTTAATGAATATTCTGTTTAATGATAGAATTATGAGCAGAAAAATATTTCTTTGTAAAAGATTTATTTAAAAATTATTACTCTGTTAAAAAATTTTCAATTGGTTACATTTTTGTAATATTTTTTAAAACTTGTTAATTTGTTTTTAATTTCTTTTTTTTTTTTTTTATTTTATTTNCTGAATTTTGAAATCAAATACTATAATTATTTATTTAGAATTATGATTTATATTATCATTATTTTTTCTGATTTCTTTTACAGTAAAGTAAAAAATAATTTTTCTCCATATTCCAAAGAAAATACTGTTAAATACTGTTATCGGTCAAACTAAAACTATCAAAATATAGTATTAAAAAAATAGCTATAATATTTCTCTTTGAAAGTTTGCAAATTTTATTTTTTTAAATAAAACTTTTAAAATTGTTTACCACTTAATTAAGTTTTTTTTTTTAAAATCAATCATTGATTTGAAAAAAAAAAAAAATGCAGTTAAGAATTCTTAAGTTTATTTTCTAAATTGTTTATAGTTTTTTGATTAGCTATGTAAAATATAAAATTTGTATTAAAAATATTTATGGATCAATATCTTTAGCTTACTATTTAAGAATTGTATTCAGTATTCATACTTAATAGCATTTGGTGAGTCGAGACCTGGTTGGCAGGGCGCTGGACTTACGTTTGCGAGAACGGGAGTTCGAATCTAGCCGGCCAAAGACACCTCGGGTAGTAAATTGTGACTGGTGCACGTTAAATCTGTCGGGTCACAAAGTCCTCCATGTTCCCATAACAAATCAATACTTCTGGGGGTACTGAATTGGAGATTGATCATTCTCTGGTTCAGGTCAAAATTACGATCTGTAGACGAATGAATGGATGTATAAATGGGTCCGCCGTGTAAACTGGTGTGACGTATGGGTGTAGCAGGAGTCTAATTCTTGGCCATAGATGGCGCCATTAGAAGACAAAATCAATCACACACCCTCTGCCTTAATGTCCGACGACAACAGCATAGCATAGCAACATAGAAAATAAATATGCTGAATTTAATTCTGAATACAATATGTGATTTGTACTATACAGTAAATGTATAGTTAAATTATGATATTTCAAAAATTCTATTACACTCCTTTATGTAAAACATTTTTTTAAAAAAAGACAGTTTTAATTTTTTCAAAATTTTTTTTTTCAATTTTTGCCTTTTTATTTTCCCGTATTAAAAAATAATTTATAAAATGACTTAGAAATGATTATTTAAACTAGATTCCAATGAAAGTATGTTAAAATGTTTGAAATATTGAATTAATATTCGATATTTCTTTATTAAAAAAAGGGAGATTCCTTCCATTTTTTTTACCATTTAGGTTGGAAGATACCTATTTTCTTCGGGCGGTTTTTTCCACCTTGAAAGAAACTTGCCATCTCTGGTTATAAAAACAGCATATATGTGGTTTTTATTTATTACGATAGCATAATTCAAATTTAAACATCTTTGATTAACATGACTTCGTTATAGATTTTTTCTGTCGTAAACAGAAAAACTAATTTCATGTTTATTACTGGTTCTAATTATTTTGTACGAAAAAGCTCTTTTGCGATATTTGTATTAGAATTTTGTAATATCTCTTAAACTGAGTGTACCGTAATGTCGTCCAAAATAAATATTCTTGGGATCCTATCAAAAATTAAATTTTAAGAAAATGCACATTAGGAGGGTCACATCAATATTTTAGTGAAAGATAAAAGAAAACGCAAAATTGAGCATTCTATACCCCAAAGGGCCGCTTACTAAAAGGGCCGCTACTTGTACTTCAATTTAAAAATTGAAAAATATATATATTTAGAACATTTATAGAATTTTTAAAAGCAGACAGTGGCAATTTTTTGTGATTTTTTTTCAGATGTACAAAAAAAATTAATAATTTGGTTGATATTGAGAAATTTTTTATAAAAATTATGGACCCCCTGAAATTGTGAGGCCTAGGTGATAATCAGACCTTGGTCCTATCTACTTGGATTTTGTTCCATTCGATTCGGCCTAAAGAAAATACATTTTAAATAAAACCTCACTAGCATTAACATGGATTTCAATGCTAGAATAGTAAATAGATATAAGTACAAATTTTACTTTTTATACATAAAACCTTAAAACTATTAGTTCTGTTATACAAATTGGTCTTATTCAATGCAGCGTAGTGAATTTACACTAGAAACAATACCGTACTTGTAAGTCATTTATACACCTCACTTGTCTAGGAATCTTTTTAAGTTTTTCTACTTTCCTCTCCCCCAGTCGGTCCCACATGTCTACCACCGCTTTTCTTATTCTACCAAGCGAAAGAAAAAATAAATAAAATCTCTAGAAATGAAAAATCAAAATTAAAAAGCATAAATAAAATCTATCCTTAATGTTTATTGAACGGATTTACCGAGTGGCACAATTTTTAAGACTCCTTAAAAAGCTTATTCTCTTTTTAAAAAACATATTAATTTGATATGGCAAAATGTTATCAAAAAGTGATGTTATACATAAAATTTTTTTCATGTTTTGTTTATCTTGAATTAACAGATCTCGTACTTTCTAATATTTTGCATTAATGAAACTTGTTTTTTTCTTTAAATCATACAACTAATACGATAGGAAAAAAAAATTCGTATTTATCTGATTTACTCGAATAATCATCCAATATATTCATACTAATGTTCTTGTCATTCTAATGGGGCCTATAATTACCAACAGCTCATGCTAATGATGATTACTTCTTTATTTTGTTTCATAAAATATAAGTAAAAAAAACTGTCGCTAACATTTTCAATATTTCCATGCAGCAAATACCTCCCCCATCTTTTTCAATACGTAATTATAATAAGGGCATATCTCCTAAAAAAGAGAAAGCGCCAAACGTCGCGATAACCTGTCCTCCGTGGATAATCTTTTGCTCTTCGCAGCCATGTTACAACCGCAGACGCTCGTCGAAGCAGTATGGCAAGGTCACCAAAGAAGCCAAGGTCAGTGTGCAGGTGTCGTCACGGGTGACGTATTTGAGTTCCACGTGCGAACGAATTTCGTATTGGCAGAAAATCATTGTACCTCGACGCTGACGCTCGCCACCGAGATGTATTTTCTCGTCCGAATGCAATTTTTACCTCTTCTTTAAATTTTGTTTTGAATTGTCGAACTTCCTGATCCGGGATGTGTGTACTTTTTATTCTCCCAACAACGTTCAGAAAACTCTCACTCGGAATGGATCGTTGTTCTTAGCACCCTCTTCTCTGGAGCATCGAACTTGGCGAGAAATGTGGCTGTATTTTTTAGTGTGTGTGCGCGTTTTTCCGTGATTTTTTTTCAAATCGATTACTTAATATTTCTTTCATTCTTTTTTTTTTTTTTTAAATCTTTATTATTCCCCATAACTAAAGGATACACATTTACTTATTACGTGCCCTGTTGTGGATATCTCATATAATAAGGTAATTTTCTTTGAAATGTATATTTTGCTATTAGTTTTTAAGATACATTTCTTGAATTCAGTTTTAATAAAAATAGGAATTACTAATTAATTTAATTTATTGAATTTGGAGATTATTAAAGAACGCATTTTCACGTTATTTTTTTCTTCTAATGTTCGTAGGCAATAAAGCAGACCATAATATAATTTTAATCTATATTAGTTGTTGAAACATAATGTGTTTCACTGTATCAAGGTTTAGTATTTCCTTATTTGTTTAAACGAATCAAACTTTCAAACCCTCAAAAAAATTGAAAGAAATGAAGTACAAAATCACATATGTTTAGCTGTAAAACTTGTACTTATTCTTCTCTGTTGCGTAGCCGGCGTGACTAGTGAAAGAAATAAAAAACTACGCACAATATTGAGCTACGCAATTTCTAAAAACAAATTCCTGAAAAACTTTAGAGCTGCGACCTCACGCTACTCAATAGCCTTATCTATTATAGTGAAACTTGCTAAGCTGACCACCTTTTTTTTGCTGATCACCTGTTTCAGATGTTCATAATGATCAAACACCAAACTGGCTAAAACGGTGACATTTACCATTGATCAAAATGTTGACTACTTGTCTAAATGAATAATCAAATTGTAGCTTCACAAGTAGTCTACTTACCCAAGCTTCACTGTATCTTCTGGTAAAGTCATGAAGTGTGTTCTGTTGCTTTTGACCATCAAATGTCTTTCTAACTGATTTTCTGTAAGAAAAAAAATCTACGAAACAATTAAAATTTACTGGTATTGTTGGGCTGACGAATATATAACAAGTTTAATAAATAGAAAGACTATTTTTTCTTCTTCCGCTTTCAAAAAATTGTTTTATTTGGTAGTTCTTACCAGGATATAACATTGAAAATTTTTGGCACGGTATATATTTTTATTTTGTTCACGTAGAAAATGGTTAAAGGATTATTAATGTTTAATACCCTTTGATATTTAAAAAATTGGGGGAAGAAATTTAAAAATTCTGTAAAACACGGTTAATGATAATTGAATTTTCCAATTTTTTTTATAGTTCTGAATATATGGTTAATTCAGAACCAATAATTCAGAACCAATTATGGTTAATTTTGACCAATTCGGCATAGGTAGGGCCCTATATAGTTACACATCAGCCTTTTATCTTTTCGTATTTTTGTAAAATACTCTTAATTGGAATTAAATTTCTTAAAAGGTTTCAATACTTCTGAATGTGCGGTTAATTTTTATCAATTTTCTAGGTTGGTTGAGGCTCTATATTATTCATCTGCTCCATCATACCTAAATTCAACACTAAATGATACCTCATTCTTGCACCTACTTCAATTATTTTCAATGAAAAATTTCCCTAATAAATACAATAGTTTTATGCAAAAAGAACCATTTTTCTATTTAACGTTTTAAAATGATATGAATTGATTTTAAAGCGACTCCTTTTAATAAGAAAATCTTTAAAATGTTTTAATAATAAAAAGTGAAAAGTGTTTCTTAATTGATAAATTATTTATATGTATTCGTCTTTTTTTAATATTAACTGATGAAAAGAAGGTTAGTTTTTTTTAGTAGGTTTTAAAAGGCAAATTTTTAATTTCTATCGTGAAAATCATAATGAGTATTTATAATTTCAATATACAAAACTTAAAGTTTAAATTCAAAGTCAAAACAACACCACACTATGTGAATTACAAAAATTAAAATTAGCAAAAAAAAAAAAAATTATAAGCACCTGATAAAAATTCCTACAATAGGAAAAAGCTTACTAGAACATTTGCGAAAAATGAAAGGCATAGTATCGTCAGGGGATGCTTTGCCCTACACTCCTTTTGTTGTGTTACTCATTTTATTTCACCCTATGGGATACCTGCACTTCAGTCAATGTATGGAAGGACGAAATGGATCCTTAAGTTGTTTTTTCCCCAAAGCAGCTACGTTTATAAAATCGTTTATTAATGATATTGAATGTGAAAAAAAATTATTGTCCGGCTGGTCGAATAAAACCAGATATATAATGAAAAAAAAAAGTTATTTTTTCCTACTGAAATATTTAATGATGTAATGATGACATTAATAATACAATGACCTTTATGCACCGAGAAACATAAAGCAGTTTTAAAATCCATAGAACATAATTCTAATTGAAATTAGCTAATCAAATATGAGAGCCGAAATAGCAAATAAAACTTAATCATGAATCTCGGCGGCCATCCTTCGCAATCGAGACATTTATAAATTAATTCTTCCCGGTATTTTCACTTTCCCCAGCCTGTGTAGCTTATAGCCATTTGTAATATTCGGGTTTGTGCTACCGACAAGGTCCTGGTTTTACTAGGTAGCACTATTTAACAGTAAAAGAAGACTTAGCATATTTTGAAGTAGGTACAAAACCTGTTTTAATAATGGAAAATAATAGTTTTAAGTGTTATCAGATGCTAAACTTAACAATACATTTTCAAGCAATTAGAAACTTCCGGGTTAAACCGGTGGTGTAAAAATCAAAACTTTGATATTCAAATTTTTCACAACGTTGTTATCGAAACATTGTTATACCCATACTGTTTTGTCTTTCATCTCCAAACAATATGAGGACAATCTGCTACAATTTCATGGATTTCTGATGAATAGCGGCATTTATTTCATGCAAAAAAAACAAGAGCAAAGAAAAGAAAAAAACGGAACCGGGATTTATTCCTTTACCGGTATTCCCTTACCATTTTCGCAGAATTTAATTCTCGTGTAAAAAAGACTAAGTAAATTTGAAATGATAGTAAAAAAGAAAAAAATTGTGGTTTACTTTTATCATTAATAATTTCTCAGACCGCATTTAACTGATAGACTGGCCACATTCGGCCCGCATGTATGTTTACAGGTTAAGCAATTAGCACTATTTATCAGAAATCATTTGCAAAAGGTCGATAATCAATCACAAATTAAACTCCTTGCTTAATTCAATCAGTTCTACTTTATATTCTTCAAGCAGTTCATTTTTCATTCTCACACCGATTCATGGCGAAACTTATTTAAAATGGTGCCGATGACGACGGTTTCAGCTTTTTTTAAAAATATATATATTACGAGGTATAAATGTTTGTTTTGAATTAAATAATTAAAATGTCGCAAAAGTTTTACAATTTTAAAAGATCTATTAAATATTTTTTATCCAATCATCATGTCTATCGGAATGAATCTCTTCCTTTAGACTCGACCTCCTAGAAAAAAAATAAAAAAGTAATAATAAACTTTCTCTGAATTCTATTTTTTAAAGTTGGTGGACACGGTTTCTGAGAGGCAAATGCTTCAGTTTTGTTGAAAATTTGCATACTTCTAGATTGAATTTTACTAGATATTGATCCAATTGGTTTGAGTGATTTATTTTGCAAAGCAATGCAAAAAACCTTTACCAAAAATCTTTTTCCTTCATATATTTCTGCTAAAAATTCAAATTTTATTTATTTACGTAGAGAAAATCCTTCGTTCTATAATTATTCGGTATAGAAGTGTGTATAGTTGTGATAAGGTGGATGCAATCAGGGGTCTGTTTNAATTTTACAGTGTTGAGCATTATCATGTATGTCTTTACAATTTAAAAACTCCTTGAAAAAGTTTTTTTTTGCAATAACGGACCCTATTTGCACGAATTCATAAAAGCGGACCCTGGTTGAAAGAATGTGAGTAATTTTTTCACAATTTCACGAAAAACGGACCTTTCACAAAATGTCTGGACAGACCCCTGGCAATAGTTTTTGAGTGAATATTTTTTTTTCCAATATAATTTTTTCTAAGGATCACCGATTCTCAACGACTAGATGCATTTTTTTTTAAATAAAAAAAATTAGTGTCCAAGTAGTGTTCTTTCATATTTTAATTAATATATTATGATATGCATGCGCACATTTTTAGCTATTCGAAAGTTTTTTTAGATGTTCTTTCGACTACCCTAGCATTCCTAGGAATCGTGCTAGCGAACCCGTTATATTACAAGACACCTCTGATATCCATTTACACATTACTAATATGTGACATGTTCATTTCTTGTAAATAATTTGCAATCAATCAAAAAACATCACATTATGCTACATATTGCATAAATAATTTTTATGTTTTAATTACGTCATTACGCTTATTACAGAATTAAAAACTGGATACTTTTATTCTGAGATTTCGGACAGCAAATTATCTGTGTTGCATTCATATTGTATGCATTCAAATGATTGTGTATTTCGCTTTATTTTCCTGGCAATGAGCTTATTTGTTGGTGGTTGTGCGGATATGATGTTCATGACAGAGACAGCTGCTGTTTAGGTGGTCGGCGACCTCTCTGACGGCTGTTGTGTGACGGCCTGATCACGACTTTTCTTTTTTTCTTCAACCTTTTATGCCATTTGAAATAGGCGTGGTCTTCTCATTACCATTTGTGAATTCAACTGTAAAACACAAAGAAAATATTTATTGAATTTTTTTGTTCATTTTTGTAGCCTTTTTCTGTGGCAAATTTATTGCTGAAACCTTCGTAATGGGTGGTGAAACCTTGCAAAGTAGTATATACCTACATTGTTAGCTCTACCTCTCCGAACCCTTTATAATATATTAATATTTCTGGTCAATAAATGTTATCGTGTTCTGGAAAAGTCAGGTAACAATATAATTATATTATTTATTTCCTAATCGTAAAAAATATCAAACAATAAACTCACAAGTGGACCATGGAAAGGTCTTGTTCAGTTTGGAGATGGATCTCATTTTGACGGGGGAGGGGTTGTTTTTCTTATTTTGGGTTTATGGTCTCACACATTGAGGTGACCACTAACATGAACCAGCATGTTAGTTTTAACTCTCTACTTGCTCAGGTGTTACTATTAGCCAACACCTCCATGTTGTCTTTTATTAACGTGTTTGAACCGCTCGTAAAACGCTGAAATTAACATCAACTTAATTTGGTGTATTTTCGTGATTAAATCCTCGGTTAGTGACTTAAACTAAATGTTACGTACTTGTAAAACGTTGTGGGCTCATTTCTTTTCCGAGGTTATTAAGTTCTGAGTTGGAATTACGTGATGTTTTCATAGAATTCTCAGGTATAGGTGGGGTCAAATCTTCTGCCCGGTGAGGTTATTAAAACATATCAAAGTATAAATTTAGTAATATTGTTTAATTAAAAAAAAGGAGAAATATTTCTTTGTGAATGGTACACTTTTCCTATCCTTTGTAACAAAGTGTCACATTTCACTATACTTTCTTACCTCCACTTGTTACGTTTTATTACATTAGCATATGATAACTGTTTAGAAACAAAGCTCATACTGTAGATCAGTGGACCCTAAATGGTGGTCTGCTGAAGTATTATTATTTAACGAGGATTTTTGTTTTAGTAACATCAAATTCCCCGCCTTTCCGCAAATGAGTCACACTTATTGAATGTCATAACTTTTATTGTGATTATTAAATAAACTTTAATTGATCATTATCATTATTGACTTTCCTCATTCATTCTTGTTCGTGATCTTAAATAAAAATGTATTAATTTAAAAACTTGCTACATCAAATATTTTTTTTTATTTATTGCAATTTTTAAATTTTAATACCTCAATTTTGTTTTGGAGGGTGACATATAAAAAAAACCACACTCTGTTGGGGAACTTCCCTCCTCTTCCAAAAATGAGGTGGTGGTCCTCGTGATTAAATATTTTTTTTTGTTTGGTGGTCAGTGTGGATCAGAAGATTGACAGCCGCTGCTGCAAATCACATTTCATTTCAATTTTTTTTAATCCTTAATTACGTGATTTAATAAAGTTTGTAAACGTAGCAATTATGATGACTGCACAAGTACTTATTTTGATGAAAAATATAAAAACTTAAAACATAAAAATAAATAATTGACTGATTTTAAATGCTTAAATTTTAATCACATGTGTTGTGTCACACTTCTTGTTATTCATCCTTCTCCTCCACGCGATCGTCATTTTTCGACGCCCCCAAAAGGTTGTGAAAATATTAGAAAATTAAACAAATACGTAGAAAAAAAACAATGTGCTAGAAGCATTTCAATTGTTGCTGTGATATATTGCTTCATCTGTTTATTTGACATATACGAAAAAACCTAATTATCTATTACTTTGTTTTCCTTCGGTGTTATTGCGTTTCTAAATAGGTTAGATAATTCTCATTCACTTTATTTTTATAAACAATAATTTGAAAAATACCATCGGGCAAAATATGACAATCGCTATTTTTAAATTAAACTACGGTCCTTATTTGTTGTTTTTATTATATTTTGTTGGTTAAAAAAAAAACTTTTATTACATTTTTTCGAAAAGTCTCCTGTCTTCCAGTTTTTAGCACTGAATACAATGAAGTCTCTTGAATTTCACACTAATTTCGGTGTTTAATTTTATTAGGTTAGTTTCGTTTTTGTAACCCTGACGTTATTATTCATTTTTTACTTGTTTATTTTGCTTATCTTCACTTTTATAAATTGAATGATTTGTAGGAATGTGAAAAAATAAACAATAAAGGGTTATTCCCCTGTTATAGAGGTCAAATGCGCGATTTCCACCCTTCCCTTGAATTTTTCTGTTGATATTTGTCTCTCTCTGTTTATTGCATACATAGTCAACAGAAATAAAATTTCGATAATAAATTTACTTATAACTTACTATCTATCGTATTCCCTCCCTCCCATCTCAAATTGCTATTTACGGCGTAGTCCCTTTCATACAAGGTTATGCTAAGGATAGCACCACATGTGAAATTATTATTATTTTACACAATTTTACGATGTTTACATTTCTCACCTTTTTTTTTTTTAAGTTGAGAACTTGCCTTTCTTTAAAAGTGTAAGTTGTTAATTACAATTCTGATATAAAACCTAGTGTGAAGAAATAAAGATTATACCTCGTCCTTTTTTTCCTTTCCTTTCTTGTTCGAAGAAATTTGGCGAATTCTGTAGTACAAATACTCTTTTAAGCATATCACGGCTTTAAACGCTCTTTTAAACATAGCATTGGTGCTCATGGCGTCTTAATATGTTGCCAAAAAAGAAGCTCGCTGCGGTTGCTGTCGATTCGTTATCTTTCTTGAATATACTTAGATTTTTTTATTTAGTAAACACATAAGGACTATCAATTAGCTCCTTCATCCACTAAGATCTAAATTTAAAGACTTGGCAAAATAAATAACGGTTGCATAGCAAAATAAAACAAGATCTTTCTCCCAAAAAATAATTTTTAAATTTTTTTTTTTCTTTTTCGAAGCTCTTGAATTTTGTTTGCGCCTACAATTAGCATGATTTAGTTGAGTGATATCTTAATATGATAATTTTATTATTTGTGACAAAGGTTTGCTTTTGCTACCTTTTTTTTAACGAAATGAAAAGTGTAAGATACGGTTTTTTATTTAGTTAGTATAATTTATAATGCACGCAAATAATAAATCCTATTCTTGTGTATAAAACATTTGTAGCTATTGTTTAAAAGTGATTGAAGTATCCAAATTTATGGCTTTCTTTTTATTATAGGGATAAACTTGCTTCTCTGCATTGAGAATGAAGAAGAGAGCACTTGTGTGTAGTGAAGATCCATACTGGCATGCCATTCAGTTTGTCTCTGCACACAGCTTTCGCCTTCTTTACTGGCCTTATTGGAATTACATTGGTGGCACACGCCACCGACGTCGGCACTCCTCAGACGTGCCCTGGGATTTTTGACTTTTTCTGCTTCGTTGCAAAAAATAGAAGTTCGCTCTTCTTCGTGAAAGCAGTCTTTTAAAACATATCAGTCTTTGTCCTGTATGTATCTGGATTAATCGATTGTTAAAATACCTTCTTTTTCCTGTTAAAGTCGTGATATCTGTTAGGAGTCTTTAGAGTGTCCTCTCGTCAAAATTTTCAATGATTTTGGCTTTAATGTTTCCTTAAGAAACAATATTCAAGGCCTTGTTATTACTTACAAATTGTGTCGTTCTCGTTGATGTGAAACGGGTATCATCGTTTAGTGTTAGTTATTATTCATTATTTTACTTTCACTTGGATTTTTATCACAAGCTCTTTGTGCGGGAGTGGCTGGGCCTTTAGTTCATTCCCTCTTTTCTTGAAGAGTGCTGAATGACAATGGATAAACTTAAACTTTTCGGCGACCCATGTGGTGGAAGCAATCCACCCCCACCACCAACGTCGTCCCCTCCTCGACCAACTTCTTGCGGAGAATACCCGACAAAAGAAGAAGATGAGGACGACGCGGAAGTGATGCAAGTTGTAGCAAATGGACCACCTCCGGTCAGCCTTCGAACGAAAAAACAAAGAATTGTTGAAGTGAATGGTGTTTTGTCCTCTGAAGATGATGGGATTGTTGAGCGTCCGATGTCTTGGGAAGGAGAACTCTCTGATGACGAATTAATGGAACCAAGGCATACCCCACCGCCACCACAAATCGCCAGGTGCCACAATGTTCTTCCCACAGTCATCAGCACAACGAATGTCCATGGTCGTACTCTTGGAAGTCCAATGTGTATGGATGACGAAAGACACGTCAATAGCATCATCAGGGTTAAGGTAAGCTGTACTTTGCTTCTATCTTTATCTTATATCGCCACGGTGCTTGGCTGTATTTAAATCAGAGTTTAGGTCGTTTCACAGCTTTCATTTAAAAGTTGTTTCATGTTTAGGCTATCATATCAAAAGGTTAATCCATGTTTCAGATCCATATTTTACAATTTTAATGAAATTTTGTATCAATGTGCCTGCCATAATTCTGCATAGTTTCATATTCGGAAACCAAAAACAACAATAAGATAAGAGAGTGTCTAATTTTAAGGGGGGAAACCTTTTGCAGTTTGTATAGAAAAAAAAAAAGCTGAATTTATCTTTAAACTCTTGCGTAATTTTCTTCAGATGTCGTGTAAGTACTTGATAAGAGAGCAATATTTCCCAGAATTAACAAAGCTGAATTCCTTCAGAATTTATAGAGTGAATCTGCAGCACTATCTTCATAAATTCAACTTTGACTGCGTCCATAACAGTCAAACAGTGACTATTATTGTAAAAAGTAGGCTTAATCCCTAACATGTGTTCTGCAAAATTAGCACTTATTAGGTAGATAAAAACTAAACACAAAAAGTCATGTTAAAAGTAAAAAAAAATTAACTAGAAAAAAAAAATACAGAACCGGGCCAACTTGTAATTTCATCCGAGAAAGTTACTATGTTTTCATATTTGTTAATTTATTTCAAGTACAAGAACCGGGCAATTTCACTTGGGATTTTATTGATTTCCGTTGACAGTATAAATTTCATTTAAACATAAATACTTATAAATTTAATGATCTCCAAAATCAATTTGAAATTTTTAAAAATAGTTTTTTTTTGCAGTACGTCACTACAATTTTTTTTTTTTTTTAAATTTTTCGGCAATTAGTTTCATTTGTTTCGAAAAACCATCAAATGAAACTATTCCATGACACCAAAATTTTTGTTGGACGAACACAGTATGGGATAATGATGAAAACATTTGTAACATGTTTTTTTTCAAATATTTTTCGCCCAAGAATTAAAAAAAATTGCCTTGAAACAAATCTATAAATTTAAACTATAATTGCCATCTTTTCGTGAAGAATTATCCGGGCTTTAGTCCGGACAAATAACTTCAATATTTTTAATTAATTTTATAATTAAATATTATAAATTTTTTTAAAGATCGCTAAATTGTTGTCATTTCCCTCCCCCCATAGGAAAATTATTAAAATCAATGTCTTCTTCTTATTTATTTATTTATTTTGCAAATTTTTATGAGCCCAGATGATAACGTGGAGTTTTTAAATATTTAAAAATTAAACCGCTAACGCTTTTCATTTTCTCAAAACTGTGTTATTCCATATTGACCAGAATAAACATAGAGGGCGCTAACTAAACTTAACCTAATTTTACCAGCAGTCATGTGTAACTATCGCAAACTCAGCAGTTTTGCGAACAGTATTTATTCGCAAAAAAGCATAATTTTATGCGACGACAGAGGCTTAGAAAACAGTCAAGAAGGTAAAACGCTTCTACAGTTAAACGCTGTTTTTCGAAGCTATGTCGCCAAGTAAAATAATAATGCCATAGCTTAAGTGCCATACACTTGAAGCTATATAATGATTTTAAACTGTATGTATAATTTCGACGTGAAGAATTATCCGGGTATTCGAACAGACAAATGACTTAAATATTTTAAAAGCTATTAAACTTTTTTAAAAATCGCTAATTTGGCAACATTCCCTCCACATTTTCCCACCAAATCAAAATTTTTAAAATCACTGCCTTATTCTCAGTTTTTGCAAATTTTTATGAGCATAAGTAATGCAGGATCGGAGTAAGTTTTTAAATAAAAAAAAAAATTAGACCATAAACGCTTTGGGGCCGTTCAAAAAGTACGTACATCCCGAAGGGGGGGGAGGGGATTTGCTATTATGTACGGTTTTGTACGATGGGGAGGGGGGGAGGTATTATACAAAGTACGTACTTTATAAACATACACCAAATTTAAATTTGACTTTATCCTACACACTCCTTAAGTAAATATTTAATTTTATTTAAAACATAATTATTTTGATTTTTATGAAAAAGGGGGGTAGACTAATAAAATGTACGTACTCTAAGGGGGGGGGGAGTAAGACCTTATGTACGGTAATGTACGAAAGGAGGGAGGGGGTTAAAATGTCTCCATTTTCGTGTACGTACTTTTTGAACGCCCCCTTTTCATTTTCACAAAACTGTGTGTGGCTTTTCTCCGTATTGACGTTTTGCGCCATTTTCATGATAAGCCTGGACAGCGCTGGCTTTAGATCAGCTAAACTTGACCCAACAGTTGAGTAACAGTCTAACTCACATCAGTTATAAAAATATATTGTTCGCAAAAATGCATCATTTCATATGACGACGAAGCCTTCGAAAACCAGCCTTGAACACAATTTGTAAAACATTATTTTGAATTATTTGGTGATAGACTTAAAGTACGTGGCTGAAAATAACAAATAATTCTCCTGCTAATTTTTTTCGCTGAACTAAAGTACGCAACTAAAAGGAAACAAATTCACCTACTTCGACGTAAGATAGAAGATGTGAAGATGTAAGGAAGACGTACTCAGAAATTAGTGGCCGCATCAATACAATTTTCTTATCTGAATGTTCTTTTAACACATTACTCTATAAAAAAACGCTAAATTTCGTTTTTTATTTTATTTTTTATTTGTTTTTGCCTTATGAGAGTGACCAGACGAACTTCTTCGGAAAAAACGGTGGAAAGTCGCTTTATTTTATTTATTTATCACCATTTGTTTATTACTTTCTATCTTAAATTTTAAAACTTATCACCGGGCTCCAGGCTTATTTTAATTGAGTGTAATCCTTACTAAAGTTTTTAGAAATTCATTTCAAGTTTATTAAATTGCATTCCGTCGCCTTTTTTATTGGTACACTAGATGAAATATCGCTGCTGGGAACGTTCAGTACACCTTTAATGCTGGGAAATCACTCTAAAAAATATATGTACTTACCTTTGAATGATTAAAATTTCCATTATCATAAGAATGTAAGAAGTAAAAAAAAAAAATTTTGATTTGCCTTAACTTTCATATGATTTTCGCTATGGTAGCTAAAGTCATTTAATTGCAGTTGAAATTTAAAATCTTTTACATTATTTGCGATAAAATGGAAGCTAAAAAATCGAATTTCACAAGAACTAAATGAAATAAAAATTCTAAAAGTATACCTTCGAAAAAGTATGCATATTTTGTATGTAACGCCAGGTAACAGAATTTACGAAATGAATAATAATACTTTTAAGAAAAAATGGAACAAATCCTTATACAGTTGGTGACTGTTATGAAGAAACAGGAAAGAACTTTATTTTTTGCTTTCCGGTGTTCTCACAATTCCACTTTTTTATGTTTAGAGGTAAAATAGAAAAAAAAAAAAAGAATATCCCATTTTATTTGTTTGAATTTTAAAAAGACAACTTAGATGAAAATTAATCTGAAGAGGCTGTAATAACCTGCAACGGCCGCTGCCGTACCGGAGAGTTTCTGCTACCGGAACTGAACGGAATTAAGAACAAGTGGAAAAAAGCATACTTATACAATTATATGAATTTAATGTCCGATTGGATTTGAGCCATTGAGACTTGATTTAATAGCATAAGTTCTTGAAAAAGAGCTTTTTGCCCTTCAAATATTTTGCAAAATGATTAAACTCTATAACAGCTTCGAAATTTTTCATAACTCCTATAATTAGATTTATTGTATTATCGTATAATGATATGCAAAGAATACTATTTCAATTGCTGAAATTCATGTCTAACGGCCCGAATCAAAACAGCCATTAAATTCGTGTAATTGCTTAGTCCTTTTTTTTATTTTTTTACCCCTAGTAGCTTTTTTTTTGGGGGGGGGAGTCGTTTTTTTTTCGTGATTCATTTCTACAAATAGCACAAATTTATAACTGTCAGCATGCCTGCAATTTTTGCTTACATTTAATGACGGAAAATATAAAATTTTGCATCTACTTTTTCCATTTCTGAAGTTCATAATATGGAAGGTCTGGCAAGTTAGAAAAAAAAGTAAGAATTCTTAATTAAAAGTTGCTTTGCTGTTAAAAAAATCTAATATATATAATTCTCTTACGTGGCTCCCAAATTTTGGCTGTATTTCTTTTCCGCCGGTGGCAACGTTTGCTTTGTTTTGTTTACATTACTATTTCTCTTACACGGCGACAAAAAAAAAGAGCCTCGTTACAACTCCTCGAATGACAACGCTAGAAAATCGACCAATGATTGCCGCTAAAAATGTCACATGCCAAATCTAGCTGAGGTGGCTCAACATATAGAGCTTTTAAACACGGAGACTGAAATAACCAGAGAGAGCATCAGCTGCGGCAATCTCATACTATTAAGCTAGGCAGAAGTGAGTAGTCTTTGTTGATAGATCTCTATTTTAGTATTTTGTCGAAAGCGCTTTTTTTTACGAATTTATA